TTTGACCCCTTTTCCCCCGGAATTCACGCGACATTAACGACAATGGCATGACTCCAGCAGCGTCCCTCTGGGAGGGTTTAGGTCACGCTCGGTTTTTTCCCGACTGCGGAGTGCTGGGAAGCGAGCAGCGGACGGTGAGAGTCACTACCAATGCCCGCGTCGTAATAATTTTCCGCCACTCAAGACAATAAAAAAAACACTTTTCGGGGGAGTAGGCGTTTCACGACACCACCTTGCAGCAAGGCTGCCGATAATTAATTTTGACTGCACATTAAATGGGCGTGGCAGCTGCCACATCCCTGGCGGAGCCGTCCATCACCGATTTAAAGCTTTCGTGACTGCAGGGATTCATCTTCTTGGTTCTTTCGGTAAAGTCACGTCTTTTTATTATTTTATTATTTCCCTTCTACGTGACTTTATCGAAAGAACTAAGAAGATGTCCATCACCGCTCGAGATTTAAAGGGCTTGTGCCGTACACAAGGCGGCAATTTCGCTTACGGCTGCCTGACCCAATGAGAACATAGCCAGGTAGCTGGCTAAGCTGCGTATTGGCACAAGCTCTTTATTCAACCACCTGCGTTCTCCACAAAAAAAAATACAAAAATCAATCAGCCCTGAAAATGAATTAATGGCAAAATAAAAATGTGCAGGGGATCGTGGAGAGAGATGGTGGTCCTCCAGGGATATGTCCCACCACTGGCCGGAGCCAGTGGGGGGGGGGTGGCACGTGCCCCCCAAATGATCCGATCGAAATCCCTAATTTCGATCCGATCATTGGGGTTTATGTTTATGAGTAATAAATCGACATTTTGCGACCCCCACTGCCACTGTGTAGCATATTATTATGTGCCAGGAACTCTATGAGATGATAGGACAATAGTCTGAGTCCATAATTGGCAATAAGTAACGGCAAAGCAGTTATAAGTCACTCACAGAATTGTGGCAAGTTGCGTATACAGTCCACGACTTCCCTGAAGCTTCAGCGAGCGCGATGCCGATCACACAACGCGGTTCGAATTCGACCCTCGATCGATGGCTGCGCCATCGCCGCACACGCGTCGAATAAAAAGCAAGGGACTAGTCCTTACTCACTAACAACTCCTCTATCATTTTTCATTGCTGGAGGGGTTGCCCCCCCTACCTGAAAATCCTGGCTCCGCCATTGCGTCCCACGGAAACCCAGAGACTGCCTGGAGAAGGTGGCGGCCCTGAGGCTCGGACTCAGGATCGGCGCCACGGTTGTTACTTGCAAGGGGCTCAGCATCTTAACTTACATAGATTTATACAAGGCCTTAGTCCATGGAGCTTTACAATAATTATCCCACACCTCTGATGACCGCGTTGAGCTAAGCGCGGCGCGAAAGAAGTTAAACATACATACAATTATAAAATTGTACGTGAGATGAAAGTCGTAAAAAAACGTGCTGTTATTAAAAGTGGTGGGTGTAGCTGAGGTGACAGAGTAAGGAGGACAGGTGGGAGTGGTGAAGGAGAGGTTGGGGTAGTGTGGGACAAGTCACAACAACTGCCGAAGACAGAGCGCCCTGCGGTGTCGGATTGTCCATCTCGCGGCCAACCCTCAGATCGAGGAAAACTCGAAATGGAAGAAACCGGAGGTGCTAAACAGAGCCAGGGGCTGGCAGCCCACGCCTCTAATCGGTGGATCCTACAAATTCGTAAAGATCCCAATCCACAAGCGTTGAGCGAGTGCCCATCTGTACTGGAATTGAGTTTCTACCCCCGCCGCGTGCGGGGGTTATCTCCGCACGTGTAAACACTCGTGAATGGAGTTGGCCAAACATCTAAACACAGGACCCCAGAGCCTGGGCAACTGTTGGCACCGGTTCTGACCGTCTCAGGTGTCCCTCGTGCTTCCGTATGAAAAACCGCTGCACGTTACAAATTCTACAGATCTGTGATGTAACATTTGAATGAGTGAAGCTGGATAAAAGAAAACAATGATTCACCTTAATATAATATAAAAAGCCAGCACAATTCTGGAAACAACCGTACGAACCCTCACAAAAGCCTCCCACACGTCCCATGCAGTGTTTCCGAATTGCAACTATAATGTGGAGGGGTTTCTAAACATTCGCTGCAACACAAAACAAGGAGCCGTTGGGGGCTCTTCCCCCGCTCCGCGATCCTCGCGAGCGCTCCGCTTGAACTTGTAAGAAACGACACGGTTGCCTAGGCACCCGTAAAACAAACCGCGTACGGAGAGGGCCGTTTTCGCGCTAATTGTGTGAACGAGCGAGCGAGAACGAGCCGGAGGCTTTCATTGCCCCCGCTAGCGCAAGCCGTCTTTGTCCCCTCTTTGTCCCCGCTGGCGTGCGACCGAGGAAGCGGTGCGCGTCTGGCGAACGTTGCAGTATACGCGCGCGAGACGTTCTCTCGCTGGCAGTAGAAAGTACCAACATTACAGCGTCGCGCACCTCCACGTTAATATTTCGGCGGTGGGGGCTAAATTGCTTTTCGTGCCGAGAGAGTTAAGAAGGAAATCCATTTTGCTACAACAGTTATTACGTCACATTCAGCCAATTCTGATTTAGTTTGTTTTATAAATGGCGTGTGACATACAATGGCAGCCATTTAACTTTAATTATGGGGGGGTGGGGTGGGCGGGGTGGGGGGGGTTTAACCCCCCCCCTCCCCGCCCACCAGGTGTGCCTCTGTACATTCACGTAAATAACGGGGAGGGCTTTTAGTTTGAAAGGATGGCCTCATGGTGAGGACAGCGATGGTGCCGCATTAGAGGTCAGCCCAGGCTCCTCCTCGACATTTCACATTTTGCAGTCGGCGACGCCGGACCGGAGGAAAATGAGGAAACAGAAGAGAGTTGCGTCCCGAGGGTAGAAGAGACATTTGGGTTGATTTTCGACGTTGCTCCACCCCCCTTGGGATGAGTTGTTGCGGGACAGATGTTACGGCGGCCTCACAGAGACTCTTGTTTTGCAGTTTACTGCGCATGAAAAATGTGCAACTCTGGCCATGACGCGGTTAAAAAAAAATGGGCCTGGCATTGTGAGCAACATAACGGGATCTTTCACTTACATGTAAATACACAAAGGGCATACCAGAAATTTTCAAAAAAGATACAAAAAATCGCCCCGATCAAATAGCTTATTTTAGAACCCCATCTCGAGTACAAAGAAGCATGGAGAGAAGCATTCTTCGAATTATCCCGACAGACAACGAAGAGAAATGTGCGATGAAGAACGTGTGCACGTCAGAGATATCGTACTGACCGTCGTCGCACGCACGTTGAACTTCTGTCGCACCGTACGTAGCCAACCGTGCTCATCGGATGCCGTCAACAAAAGTACGTGGGCTCGAGCAGGACGCGTCGCCAAAAGGGATGACGGTCAAGGCTAAGAACGGAGCTGGAGCCAAAGGAGGGAACGCGCCCGAGGAATGTTCGCGGAAGCGATAGAGCGACGACATCATCTCGCGTGCAGGAGCTAGATGGGGCCGTCGCATCGTGGGGCCGACGCCTCCCCCTGCGCGGAGAGACACGCGCCGGCGACGGGCGCGCGTGGCGCATCGCTCCCTCACTCACAACAACAAAAAACTCTCAAACAAAAAAACCAACAAAAAAACTTCGCGGTGCTGCTTCGCGAGCGAGCGTCCATCATTACGGCGCCGCTCGGGAGGGGGGCCGCTTGCCCGCTCCCCAGGAGAACGGCGAACGGTGGCAACCACGGCGGCCGTAATGACCGCATCTTGCGCTAGCGATTAAACGATTTAATTAGGATTAGCCTCTGCGCAGGCAGCCACCGAGCCTTGCTAATTAATTGGCAGGGTTTCCGCAGGACAGCACAAAGAGAGGCTCTTGTCGACGGGGGTCTGGGGGGGTAGTTGGCGGTGGGGGTGGAGGGAAGATGAGACTGGCTTTGCCAAGCGGTGTGTCTGCGCGTGTGGTTACGGTCGCTGTGTCAGCGTCTGTCGCGATGCGCGGCTATTGGCCTCTCGAGTTGGCAGAGTGAAAATTCAGTCGCGGTACAGAAGCATTTTTACTTGCTTTCCGCCACCTGGGTTATACCTGGGCCTCTGCACATCATAAAAGCAGCGATGGGAAATAAGTTAATTATAATCTTGGTAGAGTTACTCACTGCCCCGCACCGAATGCCTTGCACTCGCGGAACGGAGACGGTGGCGCTACGGTGTGCACCGCACTCAGGGTTCGCTTGAACGTGAGTGGCCGGTTGTGTCTGCACGTTGCATGGTGGTAGGAGAATATCATCCGTCAAAACCTCACCACTCGCAAAATGGCACGGACCGAGTCCTCCACACGGGTGGAGGAATCAACGAGTCAAGTTCGTGGGAATAGTGACCACGGTAGGAGCAGCAATAGAAGAGATAAGGAGGCCACTAATGACCAAGACAGACACATCACATACTTTCAAAGCTACAAAACCCCTAAGCTGGTAACTGCGAAACTCACCACAGCTCGCCAAATACTCATGCCAAAATCTATCCCTGGGCAATATTGCCAGTAAAATGTCCTGTGTGTATTTTTTTACTTCTGACGCACCATATGTAGCCAACCGTGCTAATTGAAGGCACGGGGGAAGGACAACTAATTAAACACAAAAGCAGTTTTAAAGAAATTAGTTTGTCAATCTAGATGATTTAAAAGTGCACAGCTCCAGTGCCTTGCTAATATCAGAAGGAAAAGCGTTCCAGCGGGCCGCAGAAACGCACCCAAAAGCGCACGATGCGTTGGCCGTCTTTGTTTGATGGCCAGCCAAAACCCGCTGCTACTCCGAGCATGGCCGGAGTTCGCCTGATGGTTTAACGCTCCTTGATGAGAATAGCACGTAATCGTGGTTCGTTTGTTGAAAGCATTTTGCGTGTGTAACGAGTGCAACCTCAGCAGTAGCGATATAAGAGAGATGATGAGGAGGAGACGCGACCGGCCGCCGGCGAGAAGGAGAGCAAGCGAGCGACGAGCTGAGAGTGTTTCACCGTCGCTGCGTGCGCACTGCGCGGTACTCACTGCAGGAACTGGGAGTACTCCTCGCAGAGGGCCTCGCAGCCCGGCCACTTGCACACGCCATGGCGGTAGAGCGGGTGGCCCGGCGAGTCGTCGCTCAGCGAGCTTCCGGGCGGTAGCGGCGCCGGCGGCACAGGCAGGACACGCGCGCGCGCACACAGTCAAAGACAAGAATCGCCCGTGTAGCCACAACAGACTTTTTGGGGCAAGTGCTGTTTGCGAACACCGATGAGGGCTGGCACAGTACAAACGATGGGGTGGGTGGCCAGCACCAGGTAATAATTTGAGGCCGAGTTGACCTAGCGGAGGCCCAGGACTGGTTCAGATAATCGTCACTGGTGTTGGCTGTGAGCACGAATCGAACTCGGGTCGCTGATTTCTAAGCGAAGCGCGCTAACCGCTACACTACCGCTTCCCATAAACACATAGACATGCATACAAACAGAATAACACAAACACACGGACACATACATACAAGACACAAACAGTTCAGCTGCGAACTTAAATCATTTAACGCAACTATGACTCAAGGACAACCTCAAAGCTTCGCCTAAACCCTGACCGCAACGCTGGCCCCAATGCCCTAACCCAAGCTATCTTCCGTCGCTCTGACAGCGCTGCCACCATCGCTCCCGTTGCCGCCCACTTCACGAACACGACTCCTCCACCCATTGTGAGGACTGGGTCCACCAGACTTGATTTGTAACTTTGATCCTTACCCGTGTCACCTTTGATAATCCGTTACAACTCTGGCGTTTTGGGCCTGTTTTTTTGTTTAGACCTAGCACTACAGCAACAAAAAACACAAAGCCATGGCCCACCGCTCGAAGCTAAGCGAGCGGTGCCATTCTGAGCATCGACTGCGGAGCGACATAGGTTGGCTAAATCGCTTTTCTGGTTCTTCTGGACGAGGAGCCTCTGCGGGGCTTTGTCTGGGGCGAGGCGGGCAGGCGCGGTGTCAAGCAGCGGTGAGAAAACTCTCGCGATCGCATTTGTCCCGGTTTGTCCAATCACGTTTGTCCGGCTTTGACCGACCGTGATTTGGCGCGGAAGCCGGGTTGGAGAAAGACGCGCCACGAGCTCCAAGCAGTTTAACACGTAGGCTCCCGCGACCAATATTATTCATAGTAAAGGTTTTTGGGTTAGATCGCGTAACTATAATGTGTGGTAACCCTCCACCACCCGACACAGCCAGTGAGGTTTGTCACGTAAACAACGCGCCAATTAATTTACTACTTCAGCCCACTGGCGTGTTGGAGAGTAAATCCACAACATTCACAATTTGATCTCCAAGCGTTCTATTCAGCCGTAATTGGGTTGTTATTATTTTTTTAATGCACACTGTACGGTTTACCCCAGCTGTCCTCGGGTGGGTGATGTAATCACAAAGTCTGTTTCATTATTATCATTATTATTATTGTCATCATCATAAGCAGCAGCAGCCGTAGCAGCCATAATCTATCCACTGCTGGATGAAGGCCTACCCAGAGAAGGAGAACGCCGTGCTGGCGAGGGGAACGGGCACAGGCCTGCCCACACGTGGACTGCCATCGCTTAAATTCGGTCACGCACACACGCACAGCCGCACTTCCACAACCACCAAATATATCAGACGCAAGCCAAACCGGGACCCATTCCTGGAACCGTCCACCATGGCTCCGTTTGTTGCCTGCCTACTTCCCAGAGCCGCGCAAACTTCGGGACACACGGGACACACGGTGGCGACGACGACGGTTGACGACGGCGCGGACAAACCGGGCGCCGTGTTGGGCCGGGCCGGAGGCGGCAGTGGGGGGGGGGTCGGCACTCACCCGTCCTTGCCGTGCGCCGCCGTCTGGCCTTGCCCGTTGGTGAGCGGCGAGCGGAGTGGGCTGGGTGTGGGCCGCATGCCCCCCAAGCCGGGCATCTCGGGGCGGCCGTTGGCGAGCGTGGGGCCGTCGTCCGCCTGCGCCGGGCCGCCGTGGCCCCCCCCACCGGCCTGCGCGCCCTGAATCGCCACCAGCTCCTTCCACAGCTCGGCCGACACTAGGCCTGGGGGGGTGGGTGGGGTTGCAGACAAAAGTCGAGACAGTATAACATAACAAAAGGTGAAGGTGTAGCCATGCAATTCCTTGCTCATGCCACCGCTGGCAGTATTTGGCCGACAATTCCAATCTGGTCAGATGTATGCATGTAGCCAACCATGTTCATCGGAGGTGCGGGGGAGGGACAATAAACCTAGCACAAAAAACTGTTCTAAAGAAAGTAGTTTTCATTCAAGATTATTTAAAAGTGCATAGTTCCAGTGGCTTCTTAATAGCACATGGAAGAGCGTTCCAGACGGCCGCAGTGACCGTCTTTGTTCGATGGCTCGCCAAAAGCCACTGCGAGGCTGACCGGAGTTCGCGTGATGGTTGAAGAGAGGTGAGGGTACCCACCTCTCCCAAGGCTTTACGCCACCACCTGCCGATCGACTTCACTGTGGTGAACCCATTTATACCGCTGGCTGGGACAGAGAGGTGGGATGATTTAAGATACTTGCTTCATTGTTTTCAACGTCCGTGCGCGGTGATCGAGTGGAACCGGCGACCTCTGGATCGTAAGTGCAGTGCAGTGTGCTACCCATTACACCGTGGCAGCATCCCTTGCGCACATAGTAAACCCCGGTCAAGAATCTGGATACTCGGGTCAATGGTCAACCGTGAGAAACCAAATATTTCATCGTGCACATACTCCTCTGTCTGCTGTCACACGTGTGTGTGTGTTAGTGTAAATCTTCTCATGGGGTTGTGGCGGTTGTACAGTGATTAGTGTACTGCACGACAAACCCGGAAACTTGAGTTCAATTCCCGGCCATGATTAACATCAGCAGCAAGTGATATGCCCACCGGTTCCAGCCTGCATGTATTTCACTGTTGTGATGGGGTCTTCTCATCATTTACAGAGAGTGCTGGATTTGAATTTGTACACTTACCACTGTACCACCGCTCCCCATACACACACACACCATTCCCCCCGCCACACCCCACACAACAAAAACATCCCCCCCCCCATAGCCTAAACAGACTGTTGGGGCAAGTGCTCTTAGTGAGCACCTTCCCACACAAAGACAAAGATCCCCCGTACAGGCTGAACAGACTTTTGGGGCAAGTGCTGTTCGCGAGCACCTATGAAGGCCGGCACGGCACACGAGGGAGTGAGTGGCCAGCACCACACCCGACTGCCTTTGTCTCCCCAGTGGTGATGTTTAAACACCGCACCAGGTACTCATTTGAGGCTGAATCAACCTAGAGGAGGCCCAGGACCGATTCAGATAATCACTGGTGTTGGCCGTGAGCGGGGACTCCAACTCGGGTCGCCGGATTCGTAACGCAGCGTAGCGCTGACCGCGATGCTACCACTCCCCACACGCACACGCACACAGACACACACACAGACACATACACACACACACAGACACACACACACAGACACACACACACAGACACACACACAGACACACACACACAGACACACAGACACACACAGACACACACACAGACACACACACAGACACAGACACACACACAGACACACACACAGACACACACAGACACACACACAGACACACACACACACAGACAGGGCCCACGTCGACACATCCCCGTGTCACCCGTACCTTGCTGCAGAGCCTGGAGGGGGATGTTGGCTCCCTGGCTGGGTTGCAGGGACAGCAGCCCCTGCCTCTGTAGAGACTGGATCTGCTGCAGCTGCTGGATCTGCTGGAGCTGAAGCAGTTGTTGGAAGGCCAGCTGCTGGGCCATCAGCTGACAGAGAGAGGGGGGGGGGTAGAGGGCAGGCGCCAAAAGTTAGAGGGCCGTTGGCTTGACAGGGAAAGATGCTCTCTGGCTGTGGCGCGGCGCGAGTTCGGTATTATTCCCGTTGGCTTATCGAGTGCAGTGATTGGAGGTGAGCTTCGGATGATTTCAGATGTTGGGATTATTTGGGATCATTTGGAATCACTTCCAGCGACGTAAAAAAAAGGAACATTCTTCGTGGCAACAAAACTGACGTCACCCAATGCCACGTGACGCTGCTTTTTTGAGAGAGAAACCGCGGTGGTGATGATGGCAATTTAGTGACGTCACTTCCGGCTTTTTTAGATTTATCTGAGGAAAAAGACCTTTGGATTATCCAGTATTTCGTATCCAGATTAATCACATCCCTCGTAATGATCTACGAGTATTGTGCTCATCTCGGTCATTATAATAACCCAACTCCGAACTATAACTGTAATTCTAGGTCACTGGTAGGTCACCAATGTCTAACTTATTCTCCTTTTTTTGTTGCTCCGAGGTCCGAGATCATCTGCCTCTTCATGAGTCGGCACACAATGACGATTGTCTCAACTGGACATTACGTTTGTAAGTCAATTAAACTTGCACGGCTTCACTGGAAACGCGGCCCAGCCTACCCGCGTGTTCCGCGGCTGGTGACCTTGCGATCTCCCGCCGGGTCGGGCATCCAGGTGAGGCTTTATGACGATACAGGGTGCACCGGAATGCAAGCCGGTAGCTGGTAAACAGGCTCGAGGGGGCTAGGTCTTGTTAGCAGTCCGAGCCACCAGCTGCCGATGGTTCTCACCAGATTTTTCTATATCAAAGTCACCGATTGTTTCGGACGGAGAAAATGATGCACGTCAAGGTGAGAGAGAGAGAGAGAGAGAAGCTCCCTTATCTTCCACGCTGCTCCAGACAATCAACTGGCTTAATGGCATTAAACAACCATTGCGGTGATCTCTTACTGAGCCAAGCACAGACCATTAAGTTGTTATTGTGTGGTCCACATTGTTGTCCGTTTGAGGCGAAACTTTTCTTAAATAGCCAAAGATACAAATCTGGGCAAATAATTTAACACCCGATAGCTCTTCCATTAAAATACAGGCACCAACTCGCATACTCAAGACGAATACAAACCAGCCTTCATAAACCTAACGCAAGCATGTGGAATCCTGCCAGGGTCGTGGAAAGTTTATTTAAACCGTGAACATTTTTTATTTACGCACAAAATTTAGTGCCCACTTACCAGCAGACACAACATGCCGCGGGGCAGACACGGAGGCATTGCTCTGCTAGCCGACCAGGCCAAGCGTTCGAGGAGTTGTTCGGCTTTTTAGTTGCTTTTAAAACATCGGGCCGGGCTTTTTATTTTATTTTAACGTAAACAAGAACACATTGTATCTATTGCGCTTGTAACTGGTACAGTGGAAAGCCACATATCCGCCCTGACCAATGAATCGCTCATACCCAGCGCAGAATGTGTGCACAGCGGTGTAACTGTCACTTTGTGCAGACGTTCTCAGATCTGACCCTTTCCACACACACAGCAACACGCAGCTAAAGCACTCTCCCCACGTCGAAAACGTCTTGCGCCTTCGATTTTTCCAGTATCCTATTTTCCCGTGGTTTTGTAAACCGTTATGCATAATGTACATTGCCTCAGTAATCCCCCCCTTTTTCCCCACATGGTGCAAGAGCGCAGAAGCGTGGTCACCACATCTACGCCTCCATATTTATTAAGGACCCACCGTCTCGTATTCGCATTTATTGGCGGCTCTTGAAATGTTGAGGTTTTTTTGACCGAATTCGAAAAAAATGGCTCTTCTTGTTATTTTGGATGCCGACCCCTGGCAAGGTTGAACTGTTGTGGGCCTTGCCTACCACCCGATGGGGAGGCAAATAACTGGGTTCACTGATGATGCACAAATATCTGTTTACGCTTTGAGCAGGAGGACTATCAGAATGTAGAACCTTATTTTAGGAGTCTGCTCCTGTGAGTCAAACCAACTATCCTCCCCGCCATTATATTTGAGTTATAGGCATAGAATCGACTACATTTGTGCCAATTTTTTGCAGAATGCATATCAGTCACTCAATCACAACTGTCGACACACATTCGATGTGTCCATTGTGCAGTGTGTTATTTTACGTATCTTTTGACCCTCGATATAAACTGAAGATTCGCTTCTCAGCTCAATATTTCTTTGCGCATTTTTTTTGTTAGTTTATTCACAATTTCGATTACATCTTTCACTTTTTAGGTTTTGTACCGTATTACGGTTAACGCACGGTACGTTGTATTCATTTAACCGTCATGTCAGTGTCACCTCAGCTCGCATTACGCTGGTGAATAGGCCCGAGATATAAAAAAAATATTTTTTTTGAAAGTGAAATAACTGTGTCGTGACAATGGAAATAGAGAATGTTTGTTTAACTGAACGAGATTATGACTCGCATGACAACATACGACATCGCCGAGCCTAACGGAGGAGGCCAGGACAATGACAAAATAAGAAGCTCTCTATGATAAGAAAGTAACAACATTATTAAAGCGTCTGCCGACCGGCATGGCAACAGCAATAAGTGCACTTAATGTTCGAGATTGCAGTGTACATTATACGGCGTGCGTTTCATATTTGAGAAAACATTCTTGGGCTTTGTGTAAAAATGGAAACATAGATAAAATATAAACTAAACAGCCCGCATTCTCAGGTGCGTGCACGTCTGGTACGATCAACAACGTGTCCCAACAGCAGCAGCAGCCTTAGAATAACTGGCAATGCCCGTGCTATTTTTCCCCCGAGATAGGCCGACATAGGCCCCTGACTTAGCAGCGCCACCACAGCCCACTCTGCACTCCCGATTAGCACGGTTGGTTACCTACGGAGCGAAAAGAGTTCAACGTACAAACATATAATTTCAACGCAACACATATACATACAAGTTCAACTGAGATACACTCACAATCGTGTCCCAGGCCATGATTTTTTTAGGAGAGACCGCACGGCTGTCGGGGAACGTGCCGCTTTCATCCCACTTTCAACTTGGAAACTCTTTTTATTTTACTGGGTTTAAGGCCCACTGAGCTCTACACCTCTTTTTCAGAAGCGACCTGGCCGCAACTGATTGCTCAACGAGGCTGCCTATGTCGCGTGGTCATTTATAGCAGCCAAACACTCTAAAACGCACGTTAAGACTCTAAATGTGGAGGGAAAAACCGGAGGAGCCGCAGAAAAATCTACGCGACCACGGGGAGAGAGACATTCAAATTCCAAATATACAGCAGAAATCAGGGTCGGGATCGAATCCACAACCTCCTGCATACCGGACAAGGTGGTTAACATCTTGCCACCGTGGCACCCGCCATGCGAGTGCGTGAGACCTCGTATTCAACCCAATGCAGGCTGACCAAATACATAAAACTTTGAAAGTGAACAAGTACGTAGATTTCTGAATGTACCGTATCGGACGGATCATGGGGGGTGGTGGTGGGTGGAGAGCAGGGTGGCTCAATACGGCGATTCGAGAGAGGTTTTGCGCAGCCCTAACACCACGTTCTAATTTTACCGCTGTCCTTTGCGCAAGCGGCCTGGTATGTAAACATGCACCAAAGCGTGCACGCAGACACTTTCCCATGGCTGAAGAAAAACAGAGTGGGGGGAGGGGGGGCACCCCCCAATGGCCTTCAGTCACTAAACCACCCCCCACCTCCACCGCCGTTGTATGTGGTTTTAATAAACTGACTACCCACTGCGTCCAGATTCACAAAGGAGTCCTTTCCATGCTTGTACCTCAAGCTTTTCTCTCGCACAGCCTGCTTTTGAAAGTCCATTATCGTTTCCCCCCCCCCCCATTCTTCTCATGTTTTATACGGACTTTTTTGGATTATTATATGATTTTCATCGTTCGGTAATGAATAAAAACAGGGCGCAAGCATGCCTTCAGAGTTCTCTACGGCATTCCGTTTGGGTAGCTGTGCAGCACACTACAATAGAGCGCACACCAGCGTCGGACGCGTAATAGAGGCGATAATAATTGAACGAGTGGCCGATGTTTTTATTATAACGATTAAAATGTAGTTCCGTAAAGGGATAGCAAGACGAAATTTGGCACAAGTGTAGTCCAATCTATGCTTATAGCTAGAAAAAAAAAACGTTCGCTATCGGTGCCTGGTAAGTGTTGAACCAATGCTGCTGCAATTACGCACTCCCAGAAGGCAGTGTGACTGATACGTGAAAATGCGTTTAAATGTCGTGTGAGGCACAGATATGGGAAGGAGGAGAATTGTCGGCTTATTTATTCCGTATTACCGCACGCGTGATCTTCATTTTTGTGCGTGTATATTTATTTGCAGTGTTCAATGAGTGGGAGGATTACATTAGCGCGAATCCTGGCAAGGGAAGACACTTAGTAAAAACTGTGCGATAGGCAGCACGCCAGCTCACCCCTCCGCCTCCTCCTCCTGCCACAACCTTATTTCCATTATTTGGCTGCTATAAGTTTCCACGTGATAAGCCCACGTCGTTAAGCTATCACGCGTTGGCAAGTCGCTTATGAAAAAGAAGCTAATAGCTCAGTGGGCTTTACCGAGTACAATTTTTAATAGTTTAGTTTTATAGTGTAAAAATAGTGTAAATGCTTACCACGAGCTCTCAATAATATGATAGTACGCTGTCTTTGAGTTGTACGCCTTTTGGCGTCATCTGGTCCAACACCAATGGAGACTAAGCTCTAAGAAAAGCTGTCTCGGGTGTGGACCAATCAACTTCAAGGACAGTGCATATCATTATCATCAGAGTTGTTTATTTTTGTTTGCATTTTGACTGCTTGTGTTGTGGTTATTGCAAACATGATGCCTTGTATAAAGGTGTCAGTTTTTGTACCAGTTGAAAGGGTAAAAACCTGTTACTATATTTTGCCATTGGTAAAGGAGGTCTCATAGTTTATTTTGTTTAATTTTTGTGCGATTTGCTTACCTTTCCTATACTTTGCACTCCTGTCGTGTTTTTGTTTAGTTTGCTGTTGTTACTTTCTGAACCGCCCCGACAGGACATCTGTAAAAAAAAGAGCTTTATAGCTCATCGGATTCCTCCTCTGGCATAAGTAAATATTCCGATTCTGATAAGGGGTAGTACGTCACCGCAGCGAAAGGCAGCGGTGCGAGCCGTGGGGCGCCTCCAGGCGGTGAGCACAACTGGAGAAAGGGGGGGGGGGTGGGGGCCTCCGTGCCGGAACATTGTCCAGCCGAGGGGGGAGAGGGGCGAGTCCCCGTGTCCTCCGGTTAAGAGCCACCGCGTCCATTCACGTGTACGAGCGGGTAACACTGCACACCGCCATCTCCTGGCCACCACGCGGCGTCACGTCTACAACAGCCGGCGGGCCGTGTGCGCTCATTCGTCAAGGCGCTATCCAGGCTCGCGCTAGCTTAGCTTTCTGGGATATTACAAGACTGCGCGTGCTACCGCTGCCGCTGCTGCCGACACCGCCTCTGCGTCTGCCACCGCCGCCGAAGCCAATCGTTACCTCCTTTTGCGCCTTGCTGGCCACCTGCTGCTGGGCCTGCTGCTGCACGTGCGCCTGTTGCTGGACATGCTGCTGCTGCAGCAGCTGCAGCTGGGCTTGCTCCTGCTGCTTCTTGTAAAACTCCTGCAGCTGTTGCTGTGGATCGGCACAACGCGCGCCAGCGTTAGGGTTAGCGATAAATCGTCAATCGTAGCCATGATCATAATTTAAACTTGTAAGGCGCACCGGCAATCGCTCGCTCTCGAAGAGAGATAACGTACGTACGTGTGTGTATGTTGAACTTCTTTCACACAGTACGTAGCCAACCGTGCTAATTGGAGGTGCGGGGAAAGGACAACCAACAAACAAGACACGACTCAAAGGGGCGAGGAGAAATCACAGACGAGGGGGGAATGGCGGCAACAGCCAGGCGGTTAGCCGGTGCCAGATTCCCCCTCCGAGCTCTGCAGTCCTATATCTATATTAAGGTGTTATCCTGTCAGTTAATGAGTATTTGCATGTGGCAGGAAACTGGAGCACCCGGAGAAAACCCACACATGTAAGGGGGCAACGCTGTATCCCTGTACAGAAGGCGATTAGTCCACTTGCTGTACCGTCTTCTCCTGGCGAGCCAGCGTATGTATGGCACCTCGACACAACACTGGGGGGAGCTTGGGCGTGGTGGGGGGGGGGGGGGAGAGGATTTTGAGCAAGTCGGCATCGGAGGGTCAACGAATCAGCCCCCTCACAATTCGATTAACCGTCAAGATTTGGGGTGGTGATTTCATTCGAGAAGGAATGCATTTGTCTAACGCAGTGACGAGGCTAACGGCCTCTTGTGGCTGGAGGGTGCCACATGAAACCATTGCGTGCAAAATAAGAATATGTTTAACCCTTTCCGGCAATAAAACAGGAGGTGCTAAGATGTTCACACACCAAATAGACACCTTTTGCAAGGATTCAAGTTCGCAATAACCACACACACAGTACTTGTGATGAACATGCAAACAAACATGCTCTAGTAATACATGGGCATTGTTTTTTAAACTGATTGGCCTACACCAGAAAGGGCCTTCTTTAGGGCCTAGTCTCACCACCAGTGTCAGACCAGAGAACGCCAAAAGACGAACAGCACAAAGACAATGCCACTATCAGAGCATTTGTAGCTCGGGGTGAGCAGCTACAACGTGAGACCTTTCTTACCAGTATCAAAGTATAAGAATAGGTTGTAACCTTTCTGGCAATACAACAGGAGGTGTAAAGATGTTCATGCATCAAATATTAATATTTTGCAAGGGATCAAGTACCGCATTAACCTATTCCTATTTTTTCATACTTTGATACTGGCAAAAAGGTCCCATTTCACTGCGTACGGCTTATACAAATAATTGGCATTGTTATATTTAAGCATTATCACAATCCGCTGCTGGATAAAGTCCTCCCAAAACCGCCGCCACCTCATGCGATCCTCTAACGATCCACCGAACATGTGCACACTGGCTGATTTCACCACTCCATCTCCTGCGTCGGACATAATTCCATTCCTCAGCTTTTATAGACACACGGTTACACATGTTCGAAAATATCGATTCTGAAAGGCAGGTGAATGGATGTACATGTTCTGAGCTTAACAATCGATGCCAATCGATAGGTGGTTACACCCCTATTCAGCAAGCTCTCCAGTTAAGCACGTTTGAACGGAGTACCCACTGTTTGATTCCTAATGTGGCCTCGTGATAAAGTGTGCCTTGCATGAACAACTAGGAATGTAATGATTAACCCTCTTCCACCCAGTGATTCAATCATATTTGTCGTTGTGTGTGCTAGTAGCAGCAGAGACCGGGCTCACAAACTCATAAGTTTATCATGAGAATTTTATTTCCCGAGTAAAATCCCCTTGAGTCATCGGCTCTTTGTCAAAGGCAACTCGGCCAGCAGACGAAACCCACTTACTGTGACTGCCGTTTCCAGGTGACATTGCGGCCACAGCAGGTTTACAAGTTTCACGGATATTAACGGAGCTATTTTCACCCTTGCCCCCCAAGTTCCGGATCACACGTGCGCGTCGCCATATCCATCTAAGAAATCAGATCTGTTTCGAGCAGCGCAATTAAGTTTGCAAGTTGAAGAAAAAAACCTTTCAGATTTAGCCCATGACACTGGCGCAAAATTATCCACTCCTGTAAATTATGCCACGGTGTCGTTTTAATGACCACTGGAGTGGAAGATGGCAGCCTTCACGCGGCCCACTCCTTTAAGGGAGAGATCACGACGAATGGCGTCAACACGGCAACTGAACATCGATCATCGATCTCCCGCTCTCCAGAGCAACGACTCACAATGACCACCTTCCGGTTCAAAGGTGCATCGTGACAATGCCTACGACGTCGTCAAAACGAACTGCGCTATCGGATTACGTACGTCATCGATGTCTCTGCCGATTATCGGTTCCGTTACTCGACCCTAGGGGACAAAATGAAAATTGCTGCAAAAAGAGGTCTTACCTCCGTCCCCACATGTGCCGCATGACAGGAGGTGATGGGCGGAGCTTGGTGACATCATTGGCATCACCAGCCGCGTCACGCTGGGCGTGGCTCGTAAGAGGTTTCCCACCTTCAGGCGGCAGCTTTTGTGGGACGGCGACCACTTTTAAAAGCCCGGAGTAATCGACCATCAAAAAAAGGTGCCGATTACAACATTTAGTTGATTAAATTCAACACCTAAGCCTTTGTGACCCCGTATTATAATTCATAATAGATTTTTTTTTTGGTCATATCGTGGAAAGTACGATCCAATTGTGAATCTCATTTTCGTCGATTAATCGACGGACTCGCCCCGGCCGTAGAGCCGAAGCCGGTGAACCGGCGGCAACCCGACTCGGCGGTGACCGTAGTCTCCCGCTGGTGGCGCGTCAACAAAAATGCGCTCACTTGTTTTTTTCACAGACGGTGCCACGCGCGACTTTGTCCGGGCTTGCTCTCTGTAACAGTAGGCCATTGTGTGCTCGTGCTGAAGCAATCGTTATTTAGCAACCCCCACGGTGATAAATCAGAGAGCCCCTTTACCTAAAGTGGACACTACGCTGTTATTGCCGCTCGGCTTTGCATTACTCTGGTGGGGGGGGGCATGAAGCCCAATATGTCGGCGACAACACGTCAATAAACGGGCGCATTTTGAAATGCACAATGCCTAAAACTGTGCCACCCAATGAGCCACAGATGCACTGGCGCACCCTAGCAGCGTGACCCAAATTGCTCCCCCTTCTCCGTTGTTTTCTACTGCGGTGACTGCAATCGGTGGGCAATGTGAAACAATGGTGTGGAATCCTTCCGAATCTACCGCGAATATTTTATCGTGGATTAAATGAACGAACATCAATACTTTCTACAAACGCGTTAGATGACATTGCGCATTTTTTTCATTCGCTGGCACTAGCAAAGTGTGGGCCACAGCAACAGTCTGAGTGAAAATTTTAAACGTTCACAATGTAAGGTCCAACGTCAGTGTTATTATTATTATCATTGTCGTCGTTGTTGTTGATGTGTCACTAATTCAGTTGGGAACGTGGAGAGTAGAGGAGGGACACAGCCGATGTTTCCCAGCAATCAGGGGCTTGCTTCACGGCGGCAGTAGAGATGTGGGCCACCCAATTCCACAGACGCAATCTGGCAGGTCGCCCGAAACAAGGCAAAGACGAGGTTTGATTTTGGAAAAACCAGAATGAAGTCATCGGTGCGACCTCTGTGTAGGAGTTGACCGAGCCACGCTATGACATCATGACCGCTACACAGCGGATTTTGCCATCGGTTTCAGCGTAAAAGAAATGGCTTCCCAAAATCCCGCGTGGGCCGGTGAAGTGGTTCGTGGATGCCGACCATAATTTTTTTTTTACGAGAAATACATTTTTGTTAAAGTTATTTTGGGTTATCAAACGATAAAAAGTGGAAATGATCGCAAATTTTTTAAGTTTGCAGACTTACAAATCTCTAAAACAATACAAATCTAAGTGTACTGATGAGGCCACAAAACTTGCATCTGTGAAACCCAATAAACTGCGGGGTCTGTGGATTCTCTGAAACAATCGTCCGCGGCGGTCCCCGCTGTCTGGACCACCATCCCGCGGCACTATGGCAACAGAGTTCAACCCACACCGACTGTCCCCGACTTTCCAGAGACACGTGGGGGCCCCACCTCCATCGCCTGGAGGCCCCAGCTACGCAACTCAGAGTCACGGTTAAATACGTCCGTGAAATGTTGTGAAAATTATACGTTGCGTTATTATTATTGTTCGTAATAAAAGGTTTTTTTGGGGGGTTAGATCGTGTAAATATAAATGTGTCATTCACCCACCACCACCTGACAGCTAATTAGTAGGGTTTGTCACGTGAATAAAACGTGCCAATTGGTTACTACTTCAGCACACCAGTGTGTTGGAGAATAAACCCACAACATTTACAATTTGAGTCTGACATTTAGATGGTGATTACAAACAGCTTCATCAGGCGATTTGCCAGAAGTTATATTTACGTAATCTTACCCAAAAAACATTTATTATGGGTAATATTGGTCGCAAAAGCCTACGTGTTAAGCATTATTATTTATTTGCACGCATGTATCCACCGACTTAGACGAAATAACCATCGCGCAAATCTGTCTCGGGTTTTCTTCAGAAAACAAACAATAAAATATCTCTCGGCGATTCCACCGCCGAGAAACCCCCACGCTGAGACAACCTCGACAAGAACCGAGCCACGTGTCGTCACCGGCGACTTGGGGAAAGCTGACCGGCGTCGACCGGATCCCGTTCAACGCCAGGCCGGTTGCGCACGTGTGTACTACCGCCAATGACAAAGTGGCAGCCAGAGGAGGGGACGCGCCTGAGAGGACGTCCACCGTGAAGCCGGAGCGATGAAATCAAACCACTCCTAACAATTTTTATTTTACCGGGTAAGGGCCCACAGTGAGCTCCTACAAACAGCTCTTTTTCAGAAGTGACCTGGCCACAAATGATCGCTCGACGGACTGGCTAATCACGTGGAAATTTATCGCAGCCAATTACTCGAAACGCGTGATGTTTATTCTAAATGTGGAGGGAGAAACTGGAGGACCCGGAGAAAAATCCACGCGACGACGGGGACAACATGAAACTCCAAGTATACAGCAGCCGTCAGGGTCGGAATTGAACCCACAACCTCCTGCAAACCAGGCGATGTAGTTAACATCTCACGACCATGGTGCTCAGCTTGTGTCCAGGAGCTACATGGACCGCTGGCATTACAAAATCGCGAGAGATGGCGACAGCTGGCGGAGGCCTTCAATCCAGCAGTGAATAAATCTTGGCCGATGATGACGATGACCGATTTGGATAAAGCGTAAATATATTAACCTTAAGAGGGAGCTGAAGGATGTTGCGTCTACAGGTGCGGCGTGCTGTGTGGGAAGAGTTCAGAATTGTGGCACAAATGTGTGAGAAGCGGACCGCCTTGGGCAGTCCCCCATGTCAGTGACATAGAACGGACTAACCAACTCTCAGTGGGGGGCGGCAAGCGCACATTGTGGGAAACCTGTTTGTGGGTTCACAGCTGAGCAAAGATGACACAGTGTGTGGGGGCATGCCGGCAAAGCGACAGCAGCTGAGGTTGGAGACACTGGACTGGCAGCTAGCGACATCACGTCGCGATCGCAGAGACTCACGGTCCACCCCACTACCCACGCTGCCAGGGGATTCCGCCAGAAGTTTGGCATCTGATGATTCACTTGCCCACCCACCCCCCCCGATTCCTTTTCTTCCACCATCGGCGATTCAACGAAATGTCACCATTCGGTGTGTCGCGGTTTGAGTCCGAGAACGTGTTGTGGTCTTTTTTAAATCCTTTATATTAAGTTCGCTTGCTTGCTTGCTTGCGTGCTTGCTTGCTTGCTTACGACCGTGTAAATCTTTCGGTCGTTTTTTAACCCACTTCCCGTGATCCAATCGAGCTGACATTTTCCACACAGACTCGTTGTGCGTGACAATTAATGTTTGTGAAAAATTTTTGTCCAAAATTTTACACTTTATAGGACAAAAATATTACATTTAATTACCAATTGTTTAATACTGCAGACAATCATCTGACCCATAGGTGGCAGCCATCTCAAGCCAGAGGACGAGAGGACTCTAGCCGCCACGCATATAAAGGATTTAGAGTGAAAAACTTTGTTTTTACGGGTTTACTTGTTTACTTCTTAATCGGCTGTCTCATTTGTATTTTTTATTTTGCTTGCTCTGTCTTCGTGAGCACAGCTTTAGTGCAACTCAAGGGCTTCGAATGTAACATTGTATATTAATTTGCATTATGGTACATAATTCATTCTTACACACATAGTATAGTATACATGAGTGTAAGGATCAACTTCATGTCAACGTATTTCTCCGGCCAGTCTCAAAAGTCTCACGGCTCGCACGACGAACTCATTCAGTGCGTGGCTCCTGCTGACGAGCGTGAGCTGGTGCTCATATGCAGCGGCAGCCCTGTGCCAATGGTAGCAATTCCACATTCCTATGACAAGGACCAGTGTCTTTCACATGACAACCACGGCTGAAGTCCCACAGAACGGTTGACATTTTATCGACACCGGATGGTTTATGATTATATCATTTAGCAGAATAATAATGATTACGTATAGCCCTTTGTCAATCCAGTACTGGATGAAGACCCCCTCTACACAATATGTTGTTCTTCCATACTGCACCATACTGGTCAGTGCGAATCGGAGAATTGGTTGGGGGGGTGGCGGGGTACAGGGCTGGTTCAGATATCACTCGCCACCAATGTTATTTGTGGCTGGAAATGAAACTCATGTCGCCGGGTTCATAGTGCAGTGCGCTAACCACTGCTCTCCAGAGGTGAATATGAATGAACATATTAAACGTGTACTTGATCCGTTCAATTACGAAGCTCATCCGTTCTTCAATATCGACAGCATTAAGGGAACAATTACGTAAGATAGTGCACAAGTAATGGCATCAGACAGCTGTGCGCATAAAAAAAAATCTAATCTTTAAATTACTCCCCAACAGATGGCACAATCGATGCTGTTTAGAGCTGCCATGGCTCTGACATTTTTTGGGAATCACAGTAATTAAGTGTCATCGAGTGTTTTCACGATCACATTTAGTCAAATGTAACTTTTCGAAGGATTTTTCAATACCATCATCGCAGTGATTCACTCAAGACCACAACCGCACGGCCACGGAACTCACTGTTGCGGGCGCCGACTCACATCGGGGTCGTAGAGCCATCGGAGCCGCAACAATTCTGCGGCATTATGTTCAAGCAATCGGCTGCAATGTAATCAACTCCTTTTTGTAAAATCCATTACTTTGGCCCCTTTACAAATAGTGGCCAACCACCCCTTCTCCCGAAGATGACAAAACCCCCTATGAGCCACAGTGTCACGTGGCTGCTGCTGCTGCTGGTGATGATGTCGATGAGGTCCATCGACCTCCCGTCAAACGGCACACAAGTCGGAGCAGAGGCGAGAACTCGTCGTGTTTTGTCGGTTCATCAGAAAGGTTAATGACGACAGAGGGCCCCCCCCCCTCGCCTGCCCATTCAGCCTGCCCGGCTCGTTACGGCAGAAACCACGGACGAGCTGGAAGGGGGGCAGCCAGATGCCGGTGGCCAATGGCCAAACGGCTGCCCAAGTTTCCAAGCGGTCAAGAAATTTAACCGATTATATTTTATCGGTAGAGAAATCTATTTGTTAACAGTTTGATGGCCCCAGTTAACATTCCGTTTTAGAATCAATAGTTGAGTTTTTGTCTTTACCATTTGACCCACTAGCTTGGACATTCGCCTTCAGGTGACATTGGCAGCCAAAGTGCATGAATCCTGAATAATCGGTTCGTGTACGCACGATCTAATGCACACACCGCGGACGTTGGAACGGATGTCACCCAATGAAAAAGACGCGTCCGTACGTGCCTACGATGCATCGCTTTTGGTCGACCCTATTCATCAATTTCAACCGTGTTGGAAAAGTAACTCGTAAAATGGGCCATCGTTGTGAAACTGCAAAGGGAAGGCAAACTTTAAAGGATAATTTGCTCAAACACTCTGTCCATTGCTATGGATACGAGTTACATCAACATGTGTCCCAATTACGTCCACTGAGCACATCATAATTGCTTTAAATGTCACTTAATATTTCACAATCTTTCAAGTTAATTTGCCGTTCATTATTTCTTCATATGACTCTCCCCCCCCCCCCACCGCTCCCATTCCATAGGACAACTTTGAACGTTTTCGAATTTCCTTTAAATTGCCATGAAAATAAATAACAGCGCACATGATAGGGAAACCACGGCACATGCAAATATATAAATTTAAACCGCCTTCCCTTTCCATAACGCTGGCTCGGGAACACGCCACGCTGACGTTGTCCGTGGAGACAGCGGGCGGAGAGTCCCATCAAAGGGAAATTGTGAACGAGTGAAGCTGTCCATGACAGAAACTCATTCGGCATTTCGCGTTGTTTTCCAACAACAACAACGATAAAAAAAATTTGAAAATCTGGATGGGTTTAAATTTTTTTCCGTCAAAGGCCCCAAAGGCCGTTCAAGACAAATCCCGCCAATGGCTTCGTCAACTGCAGTATGACGTCGTCTACACGACTGTCGCGACCGATTAACCGCCCACACACGCAGTGCACTATTTGGGCTCGGTTGTAGCTGTCATGTTCTACAGACGTTCACGGATCTGACCTTTTTAACAAACGACCACGTGTTCCTGAACTCTCGATGATCGGCTCGCTTGTGAAGCACAGTCACGCATTTTACCCGATGCTCAGAGCAGAGTGCTAGCTTCATTTTTTTGCCCAGTCTCCTATGTACGTACGCATGTTGAACTTCTTTCGCACCGTACATAGCCAACCGTGCTAATCGGAGGTCCTATTTGTGCACGGTAGTGTAACAGTGGTTTTCAAGACACGCTCACACATCCGACCTTTTCACAAATTCTGTGCTTACGACCATCGACCAGGTAAATATTCCACGTGCATCCTTTCGTAAACATTTATCTCTGAAACTGTGGCTTATCGTAGTGACCTGCTTACAGCCAGGTGTGATCTAGCTACTTTTGCAGTCTGGATCATGCCAACAAAGACACACACACACACACCTGAAGGAGCATTCGGGTGTCTGTATGAGACAGTACAGCAAGTAGGATGTTGGCATTTGTATGCAGGGTTTTGAGTGCTTTCTCGTTGTACACGCGGCTTTTCCCCGGCTGCTCCGTTCTTCTAGCACATTCCAAACACTCATTACCTCCGATTAGCACAGTTGGCTACGTATAGTGCGAAATAAGTTCAACGTACATCCAAAACGGAATTGGGTCGAACGTCCCAACGGAAATCAAGCATCCCGCACCGAGCCCACCTGTTGCAGCGCTATGGCCTGCTGCTGTTGCTTGTGTAGTGCGGCCTGCAGCTGTTGGGGCATCGTCAGGCTCTGCTGTTGCTGCTGCTGCTGCAGGAGCTGCTGTATCTGCTGCACACTGAAGACCTGCGGGGTCATCATGGCAACCGGCACCTGGGGACAAGAGACAGCGGGCGGCCGCAGTGTGAAGCATCAGCCACTCCTTGGTCCAGCCCCGGGGGCTGGAGGAGGGATTAGCGCCCCCCTCCTCCCCCCCCCCCTTCTATAAAATGTACAATAAAGCGGGTAAGTAAGCATTGCAGCTTGTCCTATACACAGTGGGTGAGAGCCAGATCAGAATGCAAAACAGACAAAAGCGGAATGCATCGTTACTCATTCTGTTTCGTCGTCATCAGTCAAGTTTAATCCACTGCTGGATGAAGGCCTCCATAAGCCACTGCCACCTCTCACGATGCTGCAATGTAGCAATCAGTTTAGAGTTGAACATTTGTTCAAAGTTGCTTAACATTGACTGTGGCATGCACCCTCCCCACTCCCCATCTTATAAACAAGGATGCTTCCTAGATTCGTCACCCACCAACACCCACATCAAATCAGATGAGTTTGAGATTCACCGATTCTCCGACTGCACTCGGCGACAGAAAGTCAACGAATAACCAATCATTCGTGCATCATATCAATTGCCTTGAAAAAATACCCAGTATACAGCGCCCTCGAGTGAACACGCCTGATCTTATCTTATCACCCATCCACGCACAGTTCCGTACCCACGCTTCGTTAGCATCAATGACGATTGTCCGATGGAGAAAAAACTGGCCCCACCGCAGGAATGTGGAATTTCGAGCACTGGCTCCGGGCCATTAATAGAGATCCATGTTTGTAGACGTGCGATGAACTTCTTTCGCGCCGTACGCAGCCAACCGCAGTAATCGGAGGTTGCGGGAGGGGGGGGGAGGACAACGAGCCCCAGTTGCCCAGTTGCCCAGTTGCTCGTTTCGAGCGAAGAGACAACTTTCACTCGGCTTCGGCTACCCGCAACGCTGACCGCGAGCGGCTGCCGTGATCCGAAGCGGACTCGTCGCTGCACCCTTCTTGGAGACCAGAAAGCGAAAAACATTCCGCAAACAAATCCAGGACGACCGCACGCGCACGGATAGAACGCCGGCTGGAGGCACGTTGACAGGCATATCTTGCGGAGCGCAGAAACGGGAAACAGAATCTTGTCCCTGGAGAGGTCACGTGACTCCCGTCCCCTCACGGCACACACACACACACTTCTGCCCACACCACCACATTTGAATGAATCCACAAATATATACGGCGCGTCTCCCGTGCGTGCGTGCGTGCTGCGTGGGTGAACACAGCGGCGTAGATGCAACTGTGCGGAGCCAGAACAAAAAGGGGCTGATGTTGAATCAAGCTTGATATCTTTTCACGAGCACCAACAAAGATTAAACAGGAGCAAATCGTTGCTTACCGTGGATTTTCAAAGGGTGGCTGCAACGTCAGTGGGAGAGTTTGCGCCAGAGCTGCCGGCTGGAGCGACGGACGCTCCACGGAACGGTGAAAGAGAGCGCGGGCCTCGTGTGTTTTGTGTTTGTTTGTCGCTAGCGCGCCGCGAGACGCATTTTCAGGCGACCGGGCAAGACAAGTTTTTAGTCGCAAACAACCGTATTGTGCGTCATGAAAGAAAGGTGCTCACATTTTCTTGGCCTCTGGCGGACCGCGCGTGCAACAAAGAGGGATTTATTTATTTTGTTAACCCCCCCCCCCCACTGGTCACGTTCGTCCACGCAGGGCTAGAACACAGCCCCCCCCCTCGCCGCCCCCACCCCGTGTGTTTCTGTGGTGTTGACACAACAAAGTAAAGCCTTAAATTAAGGAATACCGATGATATTTTCACCATCTGTGTACATTAAAGCACCGGCACCCCCTCCCCATCATCCCGAGTTTAAAACAAACATACCATCGATCACGATTAAATTCATACGTGAAACAAAGATGTCTCACACGCACACACACTAGGAAGTCGGATTCTCTCCTTGCGCTGGAGGCTGCTGACAGGGTAACCGCATTTCTTAAGAACACACATATCCACCGACCTTTAGATCAACATTCTGCTGAAGCCACCCAAAGTAATTCTCAACTTATTTTTTTGTGCGATCGCCTACGTTATTCGTATTTCAAGGGTGCACGCTTTCTCAATCGTGACCTTCATGCCGGTTCTCATATCACGTTTTCAGAGAACGCGAGCGCGCGACGTTTCCTTTTCACCTTTTGCCGATTTTAGCCGCCACCCAGGGCAGAACGCCGAATAAAAATAGACGGCGCATAATTCTGTCAAGAAAACGGCGGCTCGCGCCTGCAATACGGTAAGGCGAGTTTACACGGAGCGTCGCTTGAAAGCATTGCGTGGAGGATAGGAGGGAGTTTAACAAGAAGAAAGTTGTACAACTTAAAAGGCTTTAAGGTCGTAGGGCTTTCCAACGGCAAATGCCACTCCAGACATTAATTCGTGCCATTCAAGTTCAACCGCTGGACAGAGGGCACGAGAGTGAAATGACGGAACGAAGCAACAGCAACAACAAAAAAGAGGATGAGGAAAAGGGGAAAGGGCGCAAGAGGCAGCTGGTGGTGGGCAGAAGGGCTCGCAGAGGAGGGAGTGTGGTGGAGGGAATGGTGGGGGGGGGGGATTGCAGGCCAGAGAATCGGACAGAGTGCAATTGTTGCAAAATTGAGCAAGGCTACTGGGGCCATCTTTCCGGCATCTGACCCTCACTGCCCTCTGCTTCCTCTCCCAAGAGCTCGATTCTCAGACACACGCGCGCGCGCACATACACACACAAAAAAAAAATCTCACGCAAAAAAACATTTGAACCAAAGAGAGAATAAACTCGGCAGACATCCACATTCGCGACAGCGTGCGTCTCTCTCTCTCTCGACGCTCCATAGGAAGCGAACGGCGGCGCGCTGGCACGAGAGGGTCGAGTGCCGGCAGGAGGCAGAGAATCTGTGGCGCAAGCGGAAGGTCACGGATTTAAAGCGTGACTTTTTTTTGATGGAGTCAATAAAAACAACAACAATTCGGTGCAAGGCAATGAAGTTTGTCCCATGGACAAACAAGGTTCCTTCATGGAAATGCATTCGTCACTGGTTTCAAGAACACCGGCAGAGAAGAGCCTCACGTGTGAAATTGAAAACTCGTTTCTTTCGAACTGCCTCTTGTGTTTAGTTTGTTGGCCTTACCCCGCGCCTCCAATTAGCGCGGTTGGCCACGTATGGTGCGAAAGAAGTCCAACGACAACATTGAAGTTAATGTGACGGGATCCATAGCTTTTGAGTGCCGGTCACAAAACAACAAAGGCCCTTTGACTTTCTGAACGATCACGTAAATCCCTTTGGGAAAAAAAAGCAACGCCAAAGTTATTCAGAACTTAATAAAAAAAAATAAGCTCACGAGCGTGAGAAAAAAGCTTTACAATTTTATAAAAATACCCAAAAATATATATATACAAGCAGCCGTATTGAGATGGAGCTGCAATGAGACACTATGTAAATCCACATTGTACCGCAGTATACACAAGCATGTACACACAAATACGTCGACGCAGCACACATACAAACGGCAGCGTGGTTTACGACAAAGCTAAAAAGAATGATGAGATGGCACCGAGATCATCATACAGCACAACACACAATGCATTTGTTGTTGCCCGCCTGTGTGAATGAAGAGGCATTCTGGGAAGGAGGAGGAGGGGGGAGAAAAAAAGAGTTTGAGAGGTGAAGAGGCTTCAAAGGGGGGTGGTGGCGGCAGGGCCTCGGGGACCGGCTCAGGTCAACGGGAAGAGAGGAGGAGGAGGAGGGGACGTCTCAAGTGCATTCCTCGCCCAAGGCTACCGTGGCCCTCCCCCCCTCGCGCCTGTCCACCCCCTCCTCTCCCATGGCCACCCACTCCATCCCCCCCACCTCTCCTCCCATCCTCCACAAACCCCACTGGGCTCTCGTCTCTCCCCTCCCGACACCCCACTCGCCCAATCGCACCCCACCTGCCCCCTCACCTTGAGCCCCTTGTTCTCGATCTCTAATTCTCTCTGCCGAGTGTCCCCCCCCCCCCTCCTCTCTGCCCCCCCCCCCTTCCTCCCGACTCCCCAAAACTTTTGCAATCTCCCCCCCCCCCCGGTACCGATCACCGGTGTCTCCCCCCACCCCCTCCTCGCCCTCCATCCATCCCCGTCCCCCCAAAATCTGCACTTAAAATTCCGAGCAGGTTCAGCGGCTCGGCTCTTCCCGACCGCTGCGGAGGCCATGTCACAACGCACACCCACACAAGAGAGTGTGTATGTGTGTGAGTGTACGTGTGTGTACGTGTGTGTGAGTGTGTACGTGTGTGTGTGTACGTGTGTGAGTGTACGTGTGTGAGTGTACGTGTGTGTACGTGTGTGTGTGTGTACGTGTGTGAGTGTACGTGTGTGAGTGTACGTGTGTGTACATGTGTGTGTGTACGTGTGTGTGTGAACGTGTGTGTGTGTGTACGTGTGTGTATGTACGTGTGTGTGTACGTGTGTGAGTGTGTACGTGTGTGTGTAAGTGTGAGTGTGTACGTGTGTGAGTGTGTGTGTACGTGTGTGTACGTGTGTGTGTGTGTACGTGTGTGTACGTGTGTGTGTGTAGAGGGGCTCTGCAGCGGTTCACTTGCTGCACTACGAGCCCCGCGACACAAGTTCGATTCCCACTCCCGACCAACACTGGTGACTATCATCTGAACCGGTTCTGGGCCTCCCCTGGGTCGACTAAGCCGCAAATGAGTAACTGGTGCAACATGTAAATTTCGCGATTAGGGAGACAAAGGCGGCCGGGCGTGGTCCTGGCCACCCACCGCCACGTGTACCGTTCCAGCCTTCATAGATGCTCGCTAACAGCACTTGCCCCGACAGTATCTTTAGGCTATACGGGGGATCTTTGTCTTTGTATGTACAGCGTGGTGAGCGGAGTGACGCTGTGGTTAGCGGAGTTTGATGCCCGCTCACAGCTCGCAATCACATGGTGAGGTTTTTGGATGGGTGTCAACCTTCTCGGCTGGGGCTGTGTCCACCTGCGTATGTACCATCATTGCGATGAGTCAATGGGTCAGAGCAGAAATTGGTGCCACTCGC